AGCTTCCATCACAGCAAAAAGAAAAAAGATGTGTATTAAATACCCATACGCATGTGGTACCCTCCTAAGCACATTACAAAATGATTGCCTTGTGGGAATTAGCAATCTGGAGTTGGCAATATTATCTCTGCCAAACCCACTGAAGAGCCCATTGGCATTAAAGGAAGGCACAACAGACTGGAAAATGTTCCAAGACGTGGCCCCCGGATGTTTACTCAGGAGCATATACCACAACAAAGTGTACATCTTGGAGTGGTTAATTAAATGACTACAGCCAGACAACGGCAGTGAAGTGAGCTTCGAGAGCTAGGATTCCTTTGCGTTCTTCGTCATTCTAGGAGTTTCACTGTACCCTTGAGGTATTTTTCTTCCTGGCTTTAATAAGCAAATTAAAAAAAAAAAACGCTAAATGAACAAATATATTTTCAGAGGAAAAGAAAATAGCCCAAATTACTTTTTGGGGTGATGAACATGTTCTAGACTATGGTGATAATTGCTCAACTCTGTACATATACTAAAAACCATTGGATTGTCCAATTTAAACAGGTGAATTTTATGGCATGTAAATTATATCTCAATAAAGCTGCTTTAAAAAAATACTAGGATGGAAAGAAACAACTGAAGGATTTGCACCACTTTCAGATATAGGCATCCTGAACAATCCCTTGGCAGAGAGGCCGGGATGGGGTGGGGTGGGGTCCCTGGGGCTTGAGAGGCCCACTCAGATGATAGACACGCTCTGTGAAGGGTTAAGTGGGCAGTCCCAGTTCTGTAAGCAAGGGGTAGACTAGGAGCAGCTCTGTAGAGCCGGTGGCAAAGGGAGGGAAAGGAGTTTGCCCAGCTGGGAAAGAAATGCGGAAGCAGCAGTCCACAGAGAGCCCCAGGCAGAGAACAATCCTGCCCCGAGGCAGCGGGCCAGGACTCCAGCTCCCATTCCTGGGAGGGACACCTGTGCTCCATCACTCAGTAATCCTCCCGTTTCCCTCTCGCTGGCTCCTAGCACCGCGCACCGGGAGAGCTCGCCCCCAGCTCCTTTCCAGCTTTCTTTCTTTTTCTCTTAATTTCTTTATTTTTATTTACGTATAATGTTTGTGTCAGGGGTACAGGTCTGTGATTCATCGGTCTTACACAATTCACAGCGCTCACCATAGCACATACCCTGCCCAGTGTCTATCACCCAGCGCCCCCATCCTTCCTACCCACCTCCACTCCAGCAACCCTCAGTTTGTTTCCTGAGACTAAGAGTCTCTTCCCTTCATCTTTCTTGATGTAGTATTAACTAGGTTTTAGTAGGATCCATCACTGTGGGTGTATTCTCTTAAAAGGAGTGTGTGTGTGTGTGTGTGTGTGTGTGTGTTCTATTGGTGCTGGTGTAAACGGGCACCCTCAGACACTACTCCCCTTATACCTTGGGATTGCTGGACTGCTATTTGAGTCCTGGGGCTTGACAAATCGGCAGGGACCTGGAAATTCTGAAACAGGATAAGGAAAACACAATGATGAAGAGGCCAAGAAAGAAACCTCTGGTGCTTCTGATTCCCCATGTCTACAGGACCCGTTCTTTTTTTTTTTTTT